TTTTGACCTCTGCCTGGTTGCTTGTTTCTAGGGACCCCAGGGAGAGCCAGGACCTCCTGGACAACAGGGCACTCCTGGAACCCAGGTGAGTTGTCCTCTCCAGCCCCTCCCCACCTTTAACAAGGTCAGACCCTGGATGGAAATTAAGGGTCTCAAACTCCAGTGCCCATACTCCGAATGGGGATGCTGGCTACAGGAGAGAGCAGCCCACCCCTGTGGGGCCCTGTGACTTCTCTCTCTCTCTCTCTCTGAGTAGGGTCTCCCCGGGCCCCAGGGTGCCATTGGGCCTCATGGAGAGAAGGTAAGTGACTAAGTGATTGGGTGACAGGGGATGGGCTGGAGAGGTTGGTTGTAGGGAGAGCCTTCACTGTGTGGCTAGGACTTCAGCCACCGTCTGATCTGATCCCTCTCGTGACCCTCTACCTCCTCCCCCTGCAGGGTCCTCGAGGGAAACCAGGGCTCCCTGGCATGCCTGGCTCTGACGGGCCTCCGGTGAGTGGGTCCGCACCTCTTAATCCAAATTCCAGTTGACCTTCCATCCCAGTGAATGACCTCCAAGTGCGTTTGGTAACTATCCACATGGTGTGTTCCTCACACTGGGAGGTCACTGGTGGTGCCTGCCCCTGGTCAGTTGGCTTCATTAGGGTCACAAGGGGAAGTGGAGTTAAAGAGGGGAAGGGAGGGGTGCAGGGAAGGTGACAGTGGCCAGTGGTCACATTCTTCTTCCCCCTACCCCCAGGGTCACCCTGGAAAGGAAGGTCCTCCTGGAACCAAAGGAAACCAGGTGAGATCTTCCATACCTGCTTTCACCCAGAGGGAGTTTCCACCCAGACTCTGGGGCCCCAAAGTCCTTGGGTTTTCCCTGTCTTACCATTCATGTGGCTCTGAAATATTCTCAGCTCCATGCCCTGTATCCCTATCCAGACTCCATTGTTGTCTGTACTGTTTGTTCCATGCCCTGAGCCTCCACAGTCACACATCAAAACCCCTTTTTAGATACCTTTCTTTCTTCTTCCAGGGCCCATCTGGACCTCAGGGTCCCCTAGGATACCCAGGACCTCGAGGTGTCAAGGTAATGGACAGCCAGGGTGGGAGATAAAGGACTGTGGTCAGGGGAGCCAGCTGGGGTCTCAGGAGCTCGATCCTTCCACTCCAACCTCCGTCCCTGATCTGTCTCTGTCTGCCTACTAATTCCAGGGTGTGGATGGAATTCGTGGTCTGAAGGGTCATAAGGGTGAAAAGGTGAGAGAGGCGCCCCCAGCCTCCCAGCACCTCCATCCTGCCCCACACCACCCCTTCTGCCCAGCAGTTGCCCCGCTTCCTTCCCTCCAGCCTGCGCTGTGCTGATCTCCAGCTCCGAAATCCACCCTTCTGCCATGTTTTCTGAAATGCCCCATTTTACCTCCTGACCCCCTATTATCTCTGGTGACCTCTCACCCCCATCTTTCTCAGGGCGAGGACGGTTTTCCCGGGTTCAAAGGGGACATGGGCGTGAAAGGTGACAGGGTGAGTAGAAACCCACACAATGGCCTCCCCAACCCGAAGTCCTGATGTTCTTCCATGTTGGAGCCCCCAATCACCAGCCTGTTTCCTGAAACCCCAGACTCCCCATCTCCAGTGCTTTTCTCCCTTGGAGCCCGAACCTGGCAGGATGGCAACCTGCACAGTCTGCATCCCACCAGCCTGATAGTCGCAGTGTTCTCCCTGTCCCTGTGGGGCTCCCTGTCCTGCAGTAGTTTCTGGGACCCTACTCAGCCTCACCGGGGCCCACCTCTCCTTTTGGGGCCCAGCCCACACCACCAGTTCCTGACACTCACCTCTTCGACTGTCTTACCCAGGGAGAGGTTGGAGTTCCTGGTTCTAGGGGAGAAGATGGTCCCGAGGGGCCGAAGGGACGCACTGGACCCACTGGAGACCCTGGCCCCCCCGGGCTCATGGGCGAAAAGGTGACAGGGGACGTGGAGGGGATAAGGGCCTGAACACTGGGATCAGGGTGGGCTTGGGGGTGCCCACAGCTGGAGTCAATGAGTCATTTGAAGACCATGATACGTTAATTATGCTCCTCTCTGTAGAAGGCACCCCCTGGTCACTGACAGTTGGGGGTGAGGTGGGGATACATAAGAAGTCAAGGAAAAGTCCCTGTCGGGAGAATTTACGTGGCATAGAGGTAGGGACAAGGCATTAGGCTGGCATAAGGAATGTAGGTACAAGGCAGAAGGAAAATGTGTCCAGACTTAGAGCAGTGGGAATTACAAGAAGGGAGAGTCAAGCAGTCAGAGGAGGTGACCTACAGAGCTAATCTCCATGCCCTCACTGAGGGCCAGCCCTGCGCCTGCTTGTCCTAAGCCCCGGGCTGCAGAGAACGTTCATTGCAACAAGTAAAGATGCTTGTTCGTACCACAGCCGGTCATGGGCATGGCCTGCATTTGAGCCTAGGAAGGCCTGCCAGCTCCTAACATCTGCTTCACCGCTGGCTGAGCATGGTGGGCCCTGAAGCACCAGGAGGAAGGGGGTGCATGTCAGGAGGGTTGGGGTGGTGCAGACACAGGTCGGGGGGCAGAGGCCATCCTGAGTGTGGTGTGTGAACCTGCAAGGGGACTGGTCTCAGTGGTGCAGGGAGTGTGTGCTGGGGAAGGGGAGCTGAGGTTGGGGGGTAGGCAGGGGTAGATCATGGAACTCCATGGAGCCGTGGGTTTAAAGGCGCAGAGGAGGCAGGATCCCAGTCCCAGAGCTGGGGAAAATCCACTCTCAGGAAGGATGGAGGACAAAAGCCAGGCAGCCTGTGGAGCAGGAGAGGAGGGGCTGGGGCCTGGAGGTTTGCTGGGGAGGCTCGCTGGGTGGGGGCTGGCTCCTGTCTCTGGGGCTTGGGGTCTCCAGGGATGGTGTGGTGTCTGATTCCTTCCCAACTGCTCCCTGTCTCTCCACAGGGCAAGCTGGGTGTTCCTGGTCTGCCTGGCTACCCTGGACGCCAGGGTCCCAAGGTGATACTATGCCCCATTTGTGCCCCTTCTCTTCTTCCCTTCTCTGACCCCTGATTCTAGGAAGCATAGACTGACAGTGGTGGGGGACCCTAGAGTGAACTTAGCTCAACCCCATTCTACAGATGAGGAAACAGAGGGCCAGGCAGCCGCGGGGGGTGTGGGTGGTGTGTCCAAGGCCACATAGTTCTTGGAAGAGCCCAGGCCTCCCACCCTGCTGCCTCCATCACCTCTCCTGACCCCCACTGGCTCTTCTAGGGCCTCTGTTTTCATGACATCTCAATTTTCTCCTTCTCCATCCTCACCAGGGGTCCCTGGGATTTCCTGGTTTTCCTGGTGCCAGTGGAGAGAAGGGAGCCCGGGTAAGCTGGGGGAACGGAAGGGGTGCAGAGGGCAGGGCTGCCCTATGGGTGGGATCGCACCTCTGGTGATGTGTTCTTTCTGCTTCCTTCCCACCAGGGCCTGTCGGGGAAGTCAGGGCCTCGGGGAGAGCGGGGCCCCACGGTGAGTGCGGGGGGCAGACATGTGGCTCAAGATCCCAAGAGGTGCATTTGGGTTTTTCTGACAGCTCCCCTCCCCGCTCTCTAGGGTCCACGGGGTCAGCGGGGACCCCGAGGTGCCACGGGGAAGTCTGGCGCTAAGGTTAGTGGTCTTGGCAGGACTCCATCCACCATCTGCCCCTTAGCCTGGCTCCCGGTTGACTCCTCTGACCTCCAGCAGAGCTAGAAGGCAGTGCCTCTTCCCCTCTGACTCTCTTCCCCCTGACAGGGAACATCAGGTGGTGATGGCCCCCATGGTCCTCCTGGAGAAAGGGTGAGTATGGCTTGAGTCTCTTGTTCTCCAGTGCTCCCCAGGGAGCCTGAGTGGAACCCTCGCCCTCTCTCCCTGGGTAGGGGGCTGGGGAATATGCACCCCCTGCCCATTCTTCTCATTCAACCTGGCTCTGTCTTTAGGGTCTCCCTGGACCTCAAGGCCCCAATGGATTTCCTGGCCCCAAAGGACCTCCAGTAAGTTGACCTCTGACCCACTTGGGTTCTGTGAATTCTTCGCCATCCTCCTTCCCAGCTCAGCATTCACCTGATGCCTGAACCCTTTCTAGGGTCCCCCTGGGAAGGACGGGCTGCCGGGACACCCAGGCCAGAGAGGGGAAGTGGTAAGTAATGCCCCTGGCTCCCCCAGACCTTCCAGGACTATCTGGTAGGCCCACCATGGAGATTCTTCTGGCAAAGGGATTGTCCTGGTGCTGCTCAGACCCATGGCCAAGGACTCCGTGGTGACTCTGCCCTTCCTCCAGGAATCTGGGGTCTGTCCCACAGTGTCTGTGCTTGACATGCCTTGACTGCTCTCTCCTCTTCCTTTCTCAGGGTTTCCAAGGGAAGACTGGCCCCCCTGGTCCTCCAGGGGTGGTGGGACCTCAGGTATGGCTGCCCCCTTGAGGAGAGTGGACCCCAGACCCTGAAGTTAGTTTGTCTGATCCTCTGCTCCCTTTTCCCGATCATACGCCCCAACCCCTTTGGAGCAGGATCCCGACTGGGCCAGTTCTCATCTCGTGTCCCAAAGGGGCAGTTCCCCAGTGGGGACGCGGGGTGGTGCAGTTACCCCAGACTGGGGAACTACACTCCAGCACAGTGGCCTAAGAGAGCCCCAGGAATTCCCCACTAGCTTTGGGGTGGGGATAAAGGGCATCCAGAGGGGTCATTTTAGGATGGCAGTGTGGCCTCTTTGGGCGGGGAGCGGGGCAGAGGGTCAGCTTGGAGTCTTTCTGTCTCTTTCTTAGGGAGCAGCAGGAGAAACTGGGCCCATGGGGGAGAGGGGTCACCCGGGCCCCCCAGGCCCCCCAGGAGAGCAGGGACTGACTGGAACAGCTGGAAAAGAAGGAACAAAGGTCAGTAAGGGGTCAGGCAGAGGGGAACTTGGGAGACCAGGGTTGGGGTGCTAAAGGGAACATATAGTTGGGGATTTGAGAAAAGCCAGAGATCTCATGAGCATGGTTGTGGCTCATGGCCTTTCATTTCATCTTAGGGTGACCCTGGTCCCCCAGGGGCTCCAGGGAAGGATGGACCTGCTGGTCTGAGGGGTTTCCCAGGAGAGAGAGGCCTCCCTGGCACTGCTGTGAGTGAGAGCTCAGTCCCCCAACAAGTCACCTGGCATCCTGGAGTCGCTCAGTGTCACCCCCATACTCACTTCTCCAAGTCTGCCTCCCCTCCCCTCATCCTTCCCTGCCTTCCCGACTCACATCTGTGACTCCCCATCTCTGGTTCACAGGGTGGATCCGGCTTGAAGGGAAATGAAGGTCCGGCGGGTCCCCCTGGCCCTGCAGTGAGTCTGGGGGACCTGAGGGGCGGGAGGGAGGAGCCAGGAAAGAGTGGGTGAGGAGGGATGAAGAGGGGCATCCGGATCTAGGCAGGGCTGTGGGACTGGGCAGAGGGAGTCTAGGATCCGCCGTTGTGTATTCAATTTGGGGCTATTCTCCTGGGAACCATGTTCAGGGCTTCTCTGGTGTGGGTGGGCTGTGGGGATCTGACTCCATTTCCTGTCTCAGGGCTCCCCTGGGGAGCGAGGTGCAGCAGGATCGGGGGGACCCATTGGCCCCCCAGGGCGCCCAGGCCCACAGGGTCCCCCTGGAGCTGCAGGAGAGAAAGGTGTCCCGGTGAGTGTGGGGTCCCTGGGGAGAGACACTGGGGAGGGGTCTGTGAGTTGTGAGCTGCTGGGCTACAGAGAGTTCCTTGTGAGGGTGTTGGAGGGGGAGGGTCGTCTCCGGCTCAAGACTCCTTTCTTCTTTTCTTCCAGGGTGAGAAGGGCCCCATTGGTCCAACTGGTCGAGATGGGGTGCAGGGTCCTGTGGGGCTTCCCGGTCCTGCTGGACCCCCTGGTGTGGCAGGAGAGGATGGAGACAAGGTGTGGGAACCTACAGACCCTGGGCCCAATCTTTCCAGATAAGATTGCTGATCTGCACATGCCTCCCATCCCCATCCCTGTCTTACCCTCCTTGCCCCACCTGGGTCTTTTCTCTAATATCTCATCTGCCTTGTCCCCATAGGGTGAGGTGGGAGACCCTGGACAGAAGGGCACTAAAGGGAACAAGGGTGAACATGTAAGTGACTGTGACTTTTGACTTCTGATCTCTGGCCTTTAGCCTTGTTTCCACCTGGTCTCTCCCTGTCTTGGTGTCTCTGACTCTCCTTTTCCCCCCAGGGCCCTCCTGGACCCCCTGGACCCCTTGGTCCTGTGGGGCAGCCTGGAGCCGCGGTGAGTGACTGATGCCCCGTCTGCTCCCCTCCCTGCCCCACCAGGGGCGCTGGCAACTTCTAGTCTGCCCTCAGTTCCCCTTCACCCTTGGAGTTGAGCATGGGAGTGAGGGCTCTGGACCTGGTGCCCAGCTTGGTGTGGAGTTTGTGAATAGAGAACTCCTGACCCATGACCATCTCTGTGTCCTTGTCCCTGCCCTCCCTCCACCTCAGGGAGCAGATGGGGAGCCCGGAGCTCGGGGACCCCAGGGACACTTTGGAGCCAAAGGTGATGAAGGAACGAGAGGATTCAATGGGCCCCCGGGACCCATTGGCCTACAGGTGAGTTGGGGGGAGTAGAGGCAGGGGCTGAGAAGTGGGGTCTGACCAGCCCCTGCTGCTGAGGACTGGGGGACATGTGGGATCGGAGGGAGGGGCACTGGAGGCTAAGTGTACCTGGAGCTGTTCTCTGGTGGGTCGGTCATCCTGGTCTGTGCTGTGTACCCCCACACAGGGTTTGCCAGGCCCCTCGGGTGAGAAGGGAGAAACAGGAGATGTGGGCCCTATGGTGAGAGTGACCCCACTGACCCCCTGGCCCCAACCCCACCTGCTCCTCTCTCCCCCTCTCCCCCTCCATCCAGCACTCCCAGCATCCCTGCTCCCTGCATGCTGCTTCCTGGGGGGGCTGCCCCCCCCCCCCTGAACCCCCCCCCCCCCCCCTAGGATATCAACCCCACCCAACCCTCTGGCATTCCTGTGTGCCTAATGCTCTTCCTTTCTCTTCCCTTCCCCATCTCTGCTCTGTTTTCCTCAGGGACCACCCGGCCCCCCAGGACCTCGAGGCCCAGCTGGACCCAATGGAGCTGATGTGAGTCCTCTCAGATCACTGTGGCCAGTCTTGCCTCCCTTTTCCCAGACCATAAACTCTAGTCTCATCTCAGCTGCCATGAGAAGTTGCCGGCCCTGGAAGGCCTCCCGCTATCTCACCGCTGTGACCTTGGGGTGCTCATTCAGGGTCTACCCCCTCCCTTAAGCAATGACTCCTACTTCTGCTCCTCTTCCAGGGTCCACAAGGTCCCCCGGGAGGTGTTGGGAACCTAGGTCCCCCTGGAGAGAAGGTAACTGGGAAGGGAGTAAATGAAGGGGTTTGTCTTGGGGTGGGGTATGAGGGTTGGACTTCTGCCAGCTTTGGTTGGGGTTGGGGCAAAAGAGAATGAAATATGGGGAATATTGAGATTTGGGGGTGAAAGGAGGTTTTTGAACCCAATTTCCTTGCAGGGGGAGCCGGGAGAGTCAGGCTCTCCAGGGGTCCAGGGTGAGCCCGGTGTCAAGGTGAGTGAGATCTCTGAGGCCTTGCTCCCTAATCCCCAACACCCTCCTCAACCCCAGCCCCTGTTACTGTGACCTTCTGGAGCTGGAGCTCCTCTACAGCCCAGGAGCCTGTGCTCCTAACACTCTGTGAGGCTGGACCCCTGGGTCTGAGTGAGCCCCACGCTCTTTCTTCGGAGGGAAGGAGGGACCCGAGGACTCCTTCTGGGCTTGACTTTCCGTGAGCATCCTGCTTTCACTGAGGGGGTGGAGGGGAGGCTGCAGGTGTCTTGGAAGCAGGGGCTGCATCCTTGATCTTCGAGACCCCTTTGGGACCATCCATACCCTCTTACTCATCCTTCAGGGCCCACGCGGGGAGCGTGGAGAGAAAGGAGAGTCGGGGCAACCAGGAGAGGCAGGACCACCAGGGCCTAAAGGCCCCACCGGTGATGACGGCCCCAAAGGGAACCCTGTGAGTTTAGGGGAGGGGCTGGGAGGAGGGCTTTGTGAATGAGAGACCTGGGAATAGGGGTGTCTGTGAGTGGGAGGGTCTTGGAGTAGGGGGAACCCAGGAATGGGGGGATACTTGGGTGGAAGGCTCTGGAATGAGCTCTCCTGGCAGGGATGTATGATATCCATGGCAAGGTGTGAAGTCCAGGGAAAGAAAGTGAGAGATGCCTTCTAATTAATTCCCTGAAAGCATCAGAAAGCATGCAGCACATGAGGTGGGGAAAAGAGAGCGCCAGGGACCATCTCCCCCGGTTGTGCAGTTGGGCACCGGCTGGGGAGGGAGGGTGTGGCATGTGCTCTGAGCGTCTGTGCTGGCTCTGGGTAGGGTTAGGGGGTGGTGACTTCAGCCCTTTTCTCTGCATTAGGGTCCCGTTGGTTTTCCTGGTGATCCTGGCCCTCCTGGAGAAGGTGGCCCTCGGGTGAGTCTGCTTATGGGAGGGGAAGGGAGATAGCGGATGGGCTCCTGCATGGGCCTTTGTGCGGCTGACTGGCTTGAGTGTGGGAAGCTGGGGGTAGGGCAGGGCAGGCAGAGGGATGGGAAGATTGGCAGTTTTGGGGGTGACGCCAGCTAGGTTGGGGCAACCCTGACCTTGCTGCATCCCTGCAGGGCCAGGATGGTGTGAAGGGTGACCGAGGAGAGGATGGAGAGCCAGGACAGCCTGTGAGTGACCAGTGACCCATCCCTCCACTACAGAGCCCAAGCCTTCAGGCCCATTACCCCCTTTTTAAGCCCCACTCCATTGGCTGGAGGCTAAACACTCACCCACCCCTGTCCCTCCCTAGGGATCCCCTGGTCCCACTGGGGAGAATGGACCTCCTGGACCACTTGGAAAGCGGGTAAGTGAGGTGGACATCCGGGACCTTGAGGGGCAGTCCTTGGCTGGGTGGATAGGAGATGGGGGCAGCGGAGATGGGATGGGCAGGGAGCTGCCTGGGGGCGGGGTGCATGTGTGTGGACATTTGTATTTGTAAGTGTGCCGTGTATAAGGGAGCATGTCTGTTCCTGGGCTTTGCTATGCATGTTCTTGCCGGGGTGTGGAGGGTGGTACCCATCAATTGGTCAGAATGGACGCTGGAGGAAGGGCTAGCTTTCCTGGAGGGTCCCTGCTGGGCCACGGATTAACCCTTTATTTGCTGGGGTAGAAGGTGTGTGGATGGTAGACAGTATGCGGGCAGGTGGCTCTTCCCTGAATACACAGAACTCCTCGGTATTTTAACAACCGGTACAGCTGTACCAGCTCGTCTGGGAATCAGCTTCTGCAACTCTGTTGGTGCATGCACGTGTGTGTGTGCGCGCGCACGCGCAGGCAAGCGCACACACACGCACAGGCTCATGGCCCCCGGAGGACAGGTAAGCAGCTGAGCCTGGTGACTCACTGACTTTTCCTTCCTGTCTCTACCTGCAGGGTCCTGCCGGCACCCCTGGTCCTGAGGGGCGGCAAGGAGAGAAGGGAGCCAAGGTGAGGTAGAGGCCATTCTGGATGCTGGAATATTCCCCCCATCTTCTGGCACCTCTGGTTCCTCAGATTCCTCTCTCCAGATGTCTACCCCATATTGAGCCTCTTATCTCAAGGGGGCGTTCCCTATACTTATTCCTGTTCCTGCTTTGGGTCTCCTGGGGTTTGGCCCCTTGTCTCTGCCTCATCCTTTCCACATTGGACCCCCTACCTCCACCCTTACCCCTTTCCTCTGCCCTTTAAGACTCATTCCTTGTATATGTTTCAGGGGGATCCCGGTGCTGTGGGTGCCCCAGGGAAGACAGGCCCTGTGGGTCCAGTAGGCCCAGCAGGGAAACCTGGTCCTGATGGTCTAAGGGGACTCCCAGGCTCAGTGGTGAGTCATGGAGTGGAGCAGCTTGGCTGAGGGTAGGAGGGGTCAGGGGCCTTAGGAAGGGTGCCCGTGTGGGGACAGTTCTCCTGATCTCTGTGGTCCCCTTGAATCTGCAGGGTCAGCAAGGCCGTCCTGGGGCCACAGGCCAGGCGGGACCTCCAGGTCCTCTGGTGAGTGACTCTGGATTGGGTGGGGTGGGTGGGGCGAGGCTGGTGGTGCTCTTGGGCAGTGGGCATCCATCTGAAGCCCTGGAGGAGGTGGGACATGGCTCTGGGGAGAGCTTGGTCCCACCTTTCCATGGACAGAGTGATTTCTATCTCCCCACAGGGACCCCCGGGACTTCCTGGCCTGCGAGGTGATGTTGGAGCCAAGGGCGAGAAGGTGAGTGACAGACCTGCGGCTGGGTATCTCCCCTTACCCTCAGCCCGGAGGACTATGGGGGCCCCAAGTGTCTACCGCTGTGCTTCAGGGCTCCGACACCGAGTCTCTGGGGTCCTTGCTCAGCGAGGGCTATTCATAGGCCCTGCTCTATCCTTGGCCCCCTGCCCGAGTCTCTCCTGTCATTTGGGCTCTGACCCCTGTGGGCTCCTCCTTCTGCATCCGTGTGTCTCCTTTCTGCCTCCCCCTGACCGACTACCTGTCCTTTCTCCAGGGTCACCCAGGTCTCATCGGGCTGATTGGGCCCCCTGGGGAGCAGGGAGAGAAGGGTGATCGGGGACTTCCTGGCCCTCAGGGCTCTGCTGGACAGAAGGGAGAGACGGTGAGGACATGGTCCTGGAAGGTCTGGGAGGATGAGTGTGGGGATTTGTGGTGGGGGTGGGGAGGGTGGAGGTGGAGACTCAGCTGGGGGGTGGGGGGTCAGGAGGGGTGTGGAGGGGGACCCAGTTGAACCATGCCCTTTTCCTTCCTAGGGTATTCCCGGAGCATCTGGCCCTATTGGTCCTGGAGGGCCTCCCGGCCTCCCCGTGAGTACCCCATCTGTTCCTCACTAAATCCCCTAAACCCTACTGCTCTCCCTCCATAATCCCCCAGTGGCATCCATGGCAACCACCAGCCAAGCAGAACAGGCCCCAGTGTCCTCCATATGTCCTTACACAGTGTCTCCTCCCCCGTCCTTCCAGGGCCTCTGGAATGTCCCCGTGTTCCCTCAGGCCTGCCCCTCCTATAGTAAAGCCAGGGTCCTGTGGACTCATGACTTTGCCTCTCCATTCCTCCTTGTCCTACCCCTCCCCCATGGTGACCATCTCTTTCTTCTTCCTCATTTCCCAGGGACCTGCTGGCCCCAAAGGAGCCAAAGGAGCCACAGTGAGTGACCCCCAGCCAGCTCGGAGCTCTGCCCCCTTCCCCCGGCCAGACTTGACATTTCCTCTCCAGGGCAAACATGCTCCCTCCAGCAGAGCTGCTCATTCCCAGCCCAGAGACTGACTTGAACCTTCTTTGGCCTTGACTGCATGCATGAGCCCTTGATTCCTCCATGAGCTCATTTACTCCTTCGGCAGGGCCCAGCTGGACCCAAGGGAGAGAAGGGCGTCCAGGGTCCTCCAGGACACCCGGTGAGTTGCAAGTCAGGGCCCGCCTCTGTCTGCTCCGCCCCTGCCTCTCTTTCTTGGTTTCTTGGCTTCCACTTCCTATCCATTTGTCTCTCACCTTTTCCATTCTTCCTTCCACCCAGGGCCCCCCCGGTGAGGTGATCCAGCCCCTGCCCATCCAGATGCCCAAGAAGACTCGGCGCTCCGTGGATGGAAGCCGCCTGATGCAGGAGGATGAGGCCATGCCGACTGGGGGGGCTCCGGGCAGTGCTGGGGGGCTGGAGGAGATCTTTGGCTCCCTCGACTCCTTGCGGGAGGAGATTGAGCAGATGAGGCGGCCGACAGGGACCCAGGACAGCCCCGCTCGTACCTGCCAGGACCTGAAGCTCTGCCATCCGGAGCTGCCCGATGGTCAGTGCCAGCCTCAGGAGACGTCACAACAGGATGAAAAGCAGAGTGGATGCAGGGACTTCTTGGGGGAAGGCGTGGGGTGGGGGTGGGGGTCGAGGGGCCTGGAACGGCAGCTCTTCACCAGCCAGGTGGGGAGTTTTTCAATATTTGACAACTGATCTGGTCCTCCCGGTGCTGACCGGCTCACGATCAGCCTGCTGCCTGCAGGAAGTGACAAACATACACATGTGTACACACGTGCTTGCATTTACACAGACGGGCACGCGTGTGAATCTACCACCACATATTGTACTGACGTGAGGTGTCAGTGCTCCTGCCCCCTCCATCGGGGGCCTGGGCGTGCTGCTGTGGGGAAGGGTGCCAGAGACGGGCAGGGGTGTAATGTGGTGATGGGGCATGAAGTAGGGTGGGCAGCATTGTGGGATTCCAGGGGACAGTGGGACCTGGAGACTGAGGGCATGGTGGGGAGGGTGGGGGTTTGGAGCAGCGGGGTGGGAGTGGGAAGGGGGGCAAGGAGTGTCTTGGGTCCCGCCTGTGGGGACCCTGACCCTTTCCTCTCCCTCACCCAACAGGAGAGTACTGGGTGGACCCCAACCAGGGCTGTGCTCGGGATGCCTTCCGGGTTTTCTGCAACTTTACAGCCGGAGGGGAAACATGTGTGACACCCAGAGATGATGTCACGCAAGTGAGGGCTGCCCCCCTTCCCTCCCCTGCCCCACTTGCAGTCCCAGGGGCTTGTAGGTTTCTGTGACAGGCGCCCTGGCCCTACAGAGCCTGCGCCCCTTCTTTCCTTGGCTCTTCCCTTATTACCACCAGCCCGCTGCCTTTTCCCTCGACAACCCTAGACAAAGCTTGCCTTCTGTTTACCCTCAGTCAGTCCCAGCCTCCTGCTCTGGTCCCTCATTTCTCCCTCAGCTCTTTCTGCCCACCCGTTCCCTGCCCATGACCCCAGCCACGGGAACCCCGCTTCTGTAGATGTTCTGCCAGCCCTGCTCCATCTGCCCCTCACCACCAGCCTCTCTCCTGCCAGTTCTCTTACGTAGACTCAGAAGGCTCCCCAGTTGGTGTGGTGCAGCTAACCTTCCTGCGGCTGCTCAGTGTCTCAGCCCATCAGGATGTCTCCTACCCCTGCTCTGGGATGG